AAAATTCTTTCTCTGGCACGCGGACGATTCAAACGCATCGTGTGGGGATAACGTTTGTTCTTTTGTTCGTTTTTGTTTCGGTTGCTCTGGTTGGGTGGATGGGTGACATCTTCATTTTTGTGGAAAGTGCGTACGAGAAGTAGGCGGCAGTTTCGAGACCGGCCCGGGTGACTCTCGAGCGAAACCAGCACCAATTGAAACGACGGGATTTTTGTCGGAAGTCGCCACCTTCTCATCGCGACGCAACCACTCGCCCAGCTCGCGCGACACACAGATAAGGTTCGGAGACAAGAAGAAYGGCGTGTCACAGGCCACARCACGGCACGGAAGACAGAGGAATCGTAAGCAAGCAGCTGTAATGAATCAGTCCTAACAGCTGGAAAAAAGAACTGCCGAAAGGCCACCTGCTTATGAAGACGATAAATAGAGGTTCTCTGAAAAAAAWTTACTTATCGTTCTCATTCTTTCCTGATAAAACTATAATCAGTAACGATTGGGTGTGTTTTGATGACTGTCGACGACACCGTAAAAATTRGGATTGCATCATCGTTTCTTACGAAACGAGTGTTCTTTACAGCCCTGAATCGTCGACKACCCAATCACATTTCGAATTCTCACTGTCAAGTGACGTACCAAGAGTTTCGCGTTGACCAATCACATTTGTTGATRTAGTTTTCCATAAACGGAAACCCCAATATTGTGTCAGKATCTGCGCGTTTTTCGAACAGCTGGTCATCAAAAATACACGTACAACAAGAGTTCTGCGGTCAGATGAGAAAGCCATTTGTATGGGAACGAWCGGYATCGCTTTTTGTACTACAGATGATACGGAGTATCTGCGTAGCAATTTCTAAACAAAGAAGTATGCATCCGAACAGAGTAGGTTTTGGTTTCCTTTAGATGCGGATTTAATCTGATTCAACCATCGGCACAARTGTTACAGTGAGCCCTCACGGTACTTTTACTTGCGTACTGCCGTATGAGGAAACTGCATYWTTGTTGCATCAGCCTACCATCGAATCGAGTCACTTGTTTCGAACCTTAGTCCTTCCGCGAGAACCATCATTGCTTACACAACTCMACAACACATCGCACATCACCACGACTACGAGTAACCAACAAGCATTYACCACTCAACTCATAACAGCCATACTTTCTCACTCTCACCGATGATACCCTCGCCGGCTCAACAGTTGTCATGAGTAGCGACAACAACCAAACCATACCAAACAGCGGCGAGAAAATGTCTAAGATTCTCTCGTCCTTGGGGTGTTCTTGGAACGCCAGCGATGTGAGGGGCGAGCAACAAGAACAAGCTGTTGTACCGAAACTCCCACAGTGCGCCCTAGAGGTTACTTACCCGTCCTTTTCTCTTTCCCATGGGGAACTGGATGAAGCTGACACTGCGGCAACGAGCACAAGCGCCGTTCACAGGGAGACCGTCCAATCGAAGGCTTCCGAGCTGATGTCCCGGACGATTGTCTGGAAGAACACTGCCAACAACAAGAGGCACAAACACCAACCAGTACAGCGGTCCTATCAAGACAACCAGCTGCCGAACAGAGTGATGCTAGAGAGCATCCTCGATTCCTTCGATCAGCTTGTGGAAGCTCGAATCCGGGCCTACGCCCGTATCCTGAGCAACCACGTGCGGGTCCTGTCTCAGTGCCAYAACCAGAAAGGAGCACGGATCGCCGAATACAAGCTTCAGACACTATTGGAAATCGCTTCGAACTTCACGTTCGATTCCGTTTCGACCGTCTTCCGGGAARCAACAAGGACGAAACAAACAGCCACTCCTRCGGTAGAAAGCAAGGGAGTTCTGCCCATCGAGCTCKCGGTGGAAATAAAGTCTCCAAGGTTTTACCAGGGGGGGTCYAGTACGGCGGTAGCAAGCAACGAAACGGGAACTCAATCGAACGGAACGCTCATGTTTCGGGTCGAGGGAACAKTTCGAGGTAGGTAAAGAAAATCGGGCCCARTCGTTCGTTAATCCTGTTCTATCGTACAAAACGCAACGCGTTCTGTCTTCAACGGTGTTTGGAAAGGTACCGGTACCCTACTCGTTGTACGGTTGAGTACTACGGTTCTCAGTCATGTCATGTCAGTCATGACCTGCTTCCGGCGCACGGCTCCATTCGTTYGGCACAGGCACAGTACGTTGGTGCCAGGTACAARTACTGTGTGATGCACGTTCAACACCACAACGGAATRAGAAGCACGCCCGTGTCGGYAGTAGTTGTTTCTACAACCAAGTTCTGTTGCATCTTATTGGCGCACGACTGACGCCTCCCTGATTGGTACCTTGAACATCAAGGGAAGTTCGGATTTTTGTGGAGAACACATCCGGAACGGAACGATTGACTGACGTTCAAACGTTGGTCAGGTTGAAGGACAAGATTTTTTTTCTTAGGGAAAGTTGGAATTACAATGCTGTGCACGACTGCAATCAAAACTTCTTGACACCAATGACGCTCATTTGCGAGCCGAAACATCYCGGCATTTGTTTCGCGACTCCAATGCCATGGGCCAAGAAGASTGCCCTCCCCAGCGAAGGAAACCGTGAAATAMGATTRATGTAYCTGCCGGTGTCATGGAACAACTTGCGTGGTTGAAGTTTTGATGCGCGTCCATKTGCTCGACAAATTCTTTCACCAATTGAATCACGGAACATTTTGTTTCACGTGACATGTTTTGTGTCARCAAGTATGTTCACCTGTTTAACGCCTTTTTTTGTACGCTCACCATATGTTCGCGTTTTTGTTCTTGTTCTTGTTCTCTCTCCTTTGCGGTGCTTTCGCTTCCCTTCCGTRACTGACYACGGAACACGYGCTATCTACCTACCTTCCGAAATTTTAGCCAATGGAATTCTTGTTCAACATCRCAATGACGCAACYAAAAGCATATGCTCTTCCCCAACCAGTTATGGAAACAGCCGTTACGCCGGGCAAGTAACTTCAGAGTGCCAAAAGGCTTCCAATTTGGAAAGCTGCCCYGGTGCTTTTCGTTGTTTCGAAACGGTGAGCGTCGAGATCAACTGCGAAACCCTCTTGTCACAAATGATGAACGAGGCCAGCAAGGTAGTCACTATGGCCGTCGAACTCACGAATCTCGCCTGGAAGAACRACACGCAAAAGCAGSAAGAATTTAGCAACCTCTACGACGATAACGCCATGAACCAACACGACGACTTCAGAAACACCGCCAATCTCATCGTTCCCGAYGATACGGACGAGGACTGCAACTCCACAGGCGCGGTTCAAGATGCYCCCCAAGCGYGTACCGGAAAACGAAGCTTTTGCGAACTTCGCAACGATGCCCATCCAGCACCGCCCGTCGATCGTTTGCGCAGTGCGGACGAACAGGAAGGCACGAGCAGCCGCTTGTCGAAGCAGGTCTCGGAGATCTCGTTTCGCCCCCCCGCAATCGTGGAGGTGTGCCACGAAGAACAGCAGCAGCAGCAAGAACACTCTTCCAAGCAGGGCGTGCTCTCGCCACTCCGGGACGAAATCCCATCGCCACCGCCGGTGGTGGCTGTTGCCGGCGTTCTAGGGACCACCGTCACCATCACGGCAAACGACGGTCACAGCAATGCTGCCCACGCCACTGCCGCCATTACAAACCTCGAAATGGTAGACCAGGACCTGAACAAGGTGGTAAGCGTGGACCCCAGCTTTGAATCGGCGTCCGCGGCCTCGGAGGAGCGGCGGCGATCACTCAAGGAACGCAAGGGCGACGACTACAGCCGGATGGCAGCCGAGCGAGCAAGCTCCATTGTTGACTTTGCTCTCGCTGGRGACATGAGTCCGGCGTGCTTTTCCTCAAACTACAAGCGGCTTCGCACCGAGTAGCTTTCCGACGGGAATGGAATGACAAGCCTCGCTCCACCAGACCAAAACCGTAARTCGTTCGTCGCCTTGTCGGGGGATGCGTCTCCKACACCGAACAGCTGTTATGGCCCATTAGGTGTCACACGAAACGAACGACTAYTTTTATCTACACAAACCATTATACTACCTTTTTATTGGAAGCACTGCTTGTTCCGACCGGTCGGGACCAACGATGGAGGAAGCCGACCAAAACCAAATCAAACCATGCGAGATCAGCGGAACATRTTTTGCTTTCAAGAAACAATAACCGGATACGATGCGCGTAGTCCATCATTTACAAGGATCTTACGAAACAAGCAGCGTGCGTTAAAGATTGATGGAATCTATCGAAGCATTCATTCCGACCCGGCAAGTGACTGTATCCACTGCACCATCTTCTTAAGTTGGTACACAAGAAGAAACACCGGAAGTACTGTCAAGAACAACACCATACTCACAGCAACGATACTACAGACTGACACCGAYGCACTCGGACACACAGACACGACACACACAAAAAACAGCCTACCGTTCACCGTACATTATCAACCTCCATTGTTTCCTTTAGCACACCACTTTCGGACCGAATTACTGCTGGCTGATGTTGTGCGTCGTGGGTGCCGTCGGTGTCGTTCCGGGATTTTCTTCTCTGCTGTAAATCTTCTAAAGAGAGAGAGAGAGATATCGGGCCCAGATCCATTCTCTTTTTCACGAGTGTTCCTTCGCCACAGGCTCCCTTCCTCCATCAAGAGTTCGGCTRCACATACGCACATGTACACACATACACCATAGATAGACCAAATATTCCGCCACTCGGGCAAACCACTGTGCAAGCGCTCTCTCTTGAACGAAGGAACCAACKAATCACTCAGAAKCAACCATCGCATAGCACCATACGAAACGAAATAGCATGAAAACCCAAGACCGCACCGAAGAAACCCTACACCGGATCGATCGATCGCATGGATCTCGATSCGATTRATTCGGTGCGGCAGTTTTTGCTTTGCCCAWCACTGTATATAAACAAAGAACACAAACACCAGTTCATAATCCTTCACGGCARACAAATAAACGACGACATTTTTACGCGAAACAATCCATCAACCTGTACCTCCTCAGTAATAGAATACAATGTCATAATAASCAAAACCATTACAGCAGGGGATAGATTTATTTTGAATACCAGCAGTTGTAAGTCTCGTCGTTCTAGAACACCCTGGTCACATMTTCGAGCCCTTACAATGCAGATAACCAGGCTCCGACATTATCGTTGTTATCATGAGGTTACTCAGTGTTTTATAGTGYCATTTCTTGAGACAGGAWTTATCTTTACACCATTAGTCGATAGTCTCGTTTTTTACAACACAACGGTCTCGTCACGYTCTTTTGAACATATGCCAAAAGGGGCTAAACAGATTTCCAGAAAAAAAGGTTCCAAGAGTACCATMGCTRCTAACTTCACTTGGTGTGTTGCCTACCAACCACACCACTACCCTTTCTAGACATCACATTCCAAACCCTTCGAGACCATGTTCGCTGCGACTCTTCCGAACAACTCATCCAGAATGTTATGCCAATCAGTCGACACTCGACCGCGCAAACGCTGCATCGAACGCAATGGCCTTAKTGTAACTAAAAGACATGGGTCGGATTCGATAGAAGAACCAAAATCCACAATATACAACCATCAAATGAGTTTATAAATTTCASCATTCGCTGCTCTTTCTCAGTGTGGGTCCTGTCCGACAGTCGARACCAGTCTGAGTCCAGTTGTCCATAACGATTTCATAATACGCGAAGGAAAGATGTGTTTGCCCAAAGCGATTGTACCTTACCTAAAATTGCGGAATGCAGGTTTTCAGAAGCACCACCCATGATGAGATACTTATTGTCGGCACTACTTTCGTTTTGCAAATCAACGAGAGTGGTCCAAACAAGGTCCCATTCGATTTCAGCTCGATTCAAATTTATACACCGTATCTTAGTGCGTTGGCGTTGCGTTGCGTTCCATTCCGTTCCACTCCACACTTCTAGGCGATGATCCGCTTGAAGTGTGCTGCRCTCAGTGCCCCCATGTCCCTCGGAACACACATGCGCTCGTCCAGAAAGGCTGCCAGAGACCCGAGGGATCCCCCGCACTTTTCCTCACAAGCCTCCACGGTGGCTCCATCAAAGAAGAGGCTTCGTCCTTCCTCTTCTTGGTCGTTGCAGAGGAGGACCACCGCGAGGGACCGCATCGCCTCGTCTAGGCCCGCCTCGTCGTACAGCGATGCAACGGACGGATCCTCGTCGCAGAAGTTCTTGGCRACGTCTCGTTTGATGGCCTCGCGGTTTCGCACCAGGACCGCTGCGGCTTCGGCGCTAGGCGAGGACGCCACAAAGGGCCGGGAGGCGGCGTACTCGTCCCAGACTCGTTGCTGGTCGGCTTTTTCGGCTGCGGACAGGGGCGATCGTTCCTGCTCCGCGAGCTCGTCCATCCGCTCCGACACCAGCGGGGGGACGGCGCCGGCGTTCCCAAAGCCGGCCATGGTGAGGACCTTTCTCCAGCTCGATGGGTCCCCGCGGACCCGGCAGGCGTAGGCCGGAACCATTTGTTCCATGGCGGTGTACCACCGGTGGAGGTGGGGATAGGTCGATTCGCACCTCGGATCGAGGCCCTCGTGGAGGCAGGGCAGCTGCCCCGCATAGCGTTCCAGAAAGGGCGCCCAGCAGACGTCGGCGGCCGTGAAGCGGTCGCCGCAGAAAAAGGGGCCTTTTGGGTTCTCTCCCAGCAGCGCGTCCGTCTCTTTCAGGGTTTTCTCGAACTCGTTCTTCCAAAGCGGGGTTCCGTCGTAGCGAAACAAAAATGCCGCTCGGGAGGAGGGCCGTGCCTTTTTGGGAAAGATGTTGCGGAATGCCCGCTCCGATTTGTTCACGACCTCGGAGGCAATGTCGCTCGGGTAGAGTTCCAMMCCGCAGTCGCTMGCATAGCGCTCGTCGATGGCCTTCACCAGATCCATGCTCTCGGATTGCACCCTGCCGTCTTCCCACTTCATCTGGGGCGTGTTGCCACCGTACCAGCTCGGCCTGCCGTAGATGTTGTCGATGTAGATCGTGTCGTAGTCGATCCCCTTGGCCTCCAGGGCGAGCCAGACGCGCTCGCTGTAGGGGCACCACCCGTGGCGTTCACGGTACAGGACGGGCCTGGAGTTGCCGAGATCGGGGTGSGAGGAAAAATCCGCTCCGTTGGCGCAAAAGGGTTGCTCGTGATTGTCGCACCCGGTCGCGCCCGAGAGATCCTTCCACGACGGAATGTCYGGGGCCRCCGACAGCTCGAAAGCCGTCGGTGTGGTCGAGGCACGKAGCGKAGTGGCAACGAAGGAGGAGGCGGTGTTCGGGAAGCAGAGCAACAGCATCGGGAGGTGGGACGAAATCGTTGTGGCTGCCGYCAGCCAAAAGCGCAGACGGAGMAGCGGCGGMGAGRCAATCGTGTTGTTGGGAYGCGCCATCGCTTTTKAGATTGCGGATCGGTAGTCTGCGGTCGTTTGTGGTTGTTTTTGCCGTTGTTTTGCGTGTGGAAGGTGAAWTGTGAAATGTACCGATAMTCGTATCTTGTCAACGAGAAACAAATCGGTGTGTATTCGGTTGTCGGTTGTTCCGATAACACGCATACGTACGAGTACTSAAACTCTACAATAGTTCTACGGTAGGTAGGGCTGGTACTTTACAACTACCGGCAATCTACTGTATTGGATATTGGATACGATTACGTAAGGTACGTACACGAAGTACGTAGCATACCAAGGACTTTTTCGTTCTACACTAGCAACACTAGCAGGATGTTCATCACGATTTTTTGATTTTTCGACATATCCTCTGTATTTCTTGTAGTCAAGAAACCAAGATAACTATTATTCTTGTTGTTGGCAAAACGATTTCTCGTAATGATAATTCTACTAGCAGAAGGTAGTCTGAAAGGAAATCTTAAGTTTCATTCTTTTCTTTGTGCTGTAAGAACCCATAATCAATTCACCGCTTGTACGTTGAGCGAGTTCATATTGCTGACGACTTGATACCGGTAGCAAGATCCTACTCGGGAGGTTCACAATACGGCACTTGCAGAATTTTCACTTTGCGAAATTCGAACCACCAACAAACCTGACTAAATACAGATCAAACAGGAACGATCTAGATGGCGAAGGGCTGGTTCAGGACAAGCTTCCTCCCCGCACTCAATTGAGGCACCTGCGTGTACTTTCCCTCGAGAATCGTCCGCATGTCCTGCAGCAGCTGTGTGTAGGTAAGCTCCCCCCGCTTCAGGTGGTACTTCTTCAGCGTGTGCACCAACGCGTAGGACATRGCCCCGCTGGCCTTGCCCTTGATGACCGCGTCGGCGCTGGTCTGGTCGTCTTTGCAGCCGCTGAACATGATCACGTCGGCGCTGGTTTCGTTTTCCTCGGCGGCCCTCGCRCGGGCCGAGGAATCGCCCCCACCTCTCCCACCGGCTTGGACCAGGTTGGTGATCTCCCGCTTGAGGACGCTGCCGATTGCTTTCTTGTTCCCGTCCAGCAAGAAACGCGTCCCCGCGGCCACAAGTGTCGCAACTGCCTGGTTCTTGTCGTTCTCGATAATATCTAGGTTCCCGTTGACGTTGTAGACGTATGGGAGGTCCATGATCGATTCCGAGTGGCAGCAATCGAAGATTGCCGTCAGCCGGACCCCCTTGGGCAGYTTCCTGCACAGGACGTCGTGGACGTCGTCGTCGATKATGTTACCGGCGCTCTGAAAGTCCACCGGGATCAGCGTCTGGTCGTACCCGGAGGCCTCCGTCCCRTCCAGGTTCTTGACCTTGCCCCCGTGGCCGGCATAGTGCAGCAGGAGCGAATCTCCCGGCTTGGCCCCCTTCACAAGCCATCGAAAGGCCGAAAGAATGTTCTTGCGCGTCGGCGTGAAGCAGGTCTCGGGTTCCGCGCGCTTGTCGTCCGTCAGGACCATCACGTCGTCGAGCTCGTAGTGYTCCCGGAAGAATTTYTTGATGTTTTTCACGTCGTTGATGCAGCCACTGATCGTGGCATTTGGACACAGAATGGAACGGGTTGGGATGGGTTGTTTTGCGTCGAAGCGAAGGGAAGCGAATCCATGGCAATCACAGTGGGGTGAGAGTCACAGTCACTGGCAATAGCGATCAACAAATGCACAGAGTCTAACTCGCTGCGGCAAGAAAATAATTTGAATCGTTGTGCCAAAGGAGTCGAACAATGGATATGGACAGATGTACCAGGCACGAAGCCGCGAAATCCCGTAGTACCTTCCACATGCATTCCTTGCGTTGCATCGAGTCGCATCGCATCCAAATGACTCCYGGGACATGGAGACAAATGAATCAACCAGTTCATGGACAAGTCAAAGTTGTCACAATCTGGTACAATCCAACCGTTYCAACGAAACRACAAACGTTCCGACGCAACAAACAACACAAAGCACTCACCGGAGCTCGCCCTTTTGGCCAATGTAGTTGATGCCGATAAAAAGGGCCTTTCGGTTGCCGGAGATTTTGTGCAGCTTCTCGGTCGTCTTTGCGCTCTGCGTCTGACCTCTTCCGCCCGGGTTTCGCTCGTTCAGCGCGTCCAAGGCGAGCTCCTCGACCTTGTCGGCCACCTGCGCGGCGAACTGCTTGCCAAGTTTTCCAAACATTTTGTTGCTYGTGTCGGTGCCTGTCTTATCTGTTGCCTTGCTTCCTTGCTGCGTTGTMTGTTCTCAATGGACTGGATGTCGTTCGTGTGCCTATCGGATCGTGTACGGTGGCAATCCTTGGTCTAACTCTTTTGTGACCAACGGCTCAATGCAACACGAGAACACAGAATGATGCGGGACGACTTCAGTCTGCCGCTGCGGAGAAAAATACAGCATGATTACTTCGTTWTTTATTTCCGCGCTTGACTTTTACGTACGGTACGAAGCACTGGTACTGTTGTATGGAATGTCTTACCGTATTTTACTTGGGTACCGGTACGTACGTACCGGTATTGTCGTAATGCATACTGTACATTACTGTATACCGGGGTCAAAAGTCATAATATTAACCATAGAAACGGTACCTTGCCATTAGTCTTGGATTGGCGGACGAATTCCCATCGGTAAGATATCATCGCCAAGACGATGATTTTGATTCTCATTCGACGCGCAAATCGGTATGGCAGACCCGTGTTCATTCTATCCTTTTTTTCTACCTAATACGTACTACGCGTTTCACGAACAAGACTACTTTGGAGTCGTGAGTGAATCAGAAGATAATCGTTCCATTGCGTTCACCGCAGGCAACACGAAGAGCATTCTTGTTACTGATGCATTTAACTCATTACAATACCACTCGTGACACATAATATTCTTACAACAGGTTCAACTTGTACCAGGGAGATGCCAACGATGCTCGTACAGACTTTGAAGTTCCTGTTCAGTGCCTACAGCAATACAAAAGTACTACTTCTAGTAGTAGTACTAGTAGAAGCATTCTTAGTTTCACCGCTCCCCCTCTGTACTGTTCCATCCTTTCTACTGCTACTACGACTAGTGTGGTTTTGAAAAGATTCATGTAGCGCTAGTAGAAACAAGCATTTCCCTGGCACAAGCCTCCTTTTGCAACCAGTGTTGTCTTTAAAGACTTGCAATTAATACTGCAGCAATGATTGCAAACACTCCTCCAATCACACTTCCCATAATGGCAGGAGTCGCAATGTTCGATGGTGCAGCACTGTTATTATTGGTTGGATCGAGACAACACTTCCACGGAGGAGCAATAGTCGGATCGAGACAACACCACGCAATATTGTCCGGACAACTGGAGAGCCGGAAAACATCGGTGAGATCGGTGGATCTATCGATTTTCTTTTCCCACGATGTCAGGCACTGGTTGAAGGATGATGCTTCATCAAACATCGAAGCCATATCTGTCACAGAGGACACGTTCCACGAGTCCAGTGGTTGGTTGAAGGATGATGCCTCTCTAAACATCCGAAACATATCTGTCACAGAGGACACGTCCCACGAGTCCAGTGGTTGGTTGAAGGATGATACAGATTCATTGACGTAAGATGTACTTGAAAACATACTATTCATATTTATCACAGAGGACACGTCCCACGAAGCCAGTGGTTGGTTGAAGGATGTTGCTCTTTTAAAAAAAAAACCCATATCTGTCACGGAGGACACGTTCCACGAGTCCAGTGGTTGGTTGAAGGATGATGCACCTGAAAACATTGAAAACATACTTGTCACGGAGGACGTGTCCCACGAATTGAGGGGTTGGTTGAAGGATGATGAATGAAGAAACATTGCATACATACTTGTCACGGAGGACGTGTCCCACGAATTGAGGGGTTGGTTGAAGGATGATGAATGAANGTTGAAGGATGATGAATGAAGAAACATTGCATACATACTTGTCACGGAGGACGTGTCCCACGAATTGAGGGGTTGGTTGAAGGATGATGAATGAAAAAACATTGAATCCATACTTGTCACGGAGGACACATCCCACCAAGCCAGTGGTTGGTTGAAGGATGATGCCCAAAACATCTCAGTCATATCTGTCACGGACGACGTGTCCCACAAATCGAGCGGTTGGTTGAAATCGTACCTCTTAAACGCTTCAGTCATGTTGGTGACTCTTGATGTGTCCCAGCATCCGATGGTTTCGGCRCAACCCTGTTCGGCAAGACACGAGACCACCAGCAAGCGAAAATTTTCATCGGCGCCAATCTCGGGACGACCTCCCGGGCAGTCCAATGGCTGCAAGTACCTCGCGCTGCTTAGAATTYRGGGGAAGAAGCTGTGGCCGTTGCTGTTGTTGCCGAGAGAACCATCATTTTTCTTCCCGCTATCGACTAATTTTTCTGCGGTTGCACTTTCCAATGGAGAGGAAATGGTCGCATGAACGGAGGACCGGTACATMATTCTTGTTTGATTGGTTTGTTGTTCTTGAAAGGGATCGTCGCCTGTTGAARGCGTTTGGACATCGGAAACAAAGCTTTTTTTGKTGGCAAAAAAACTTACTACCTCCGTTCCACAATAATAATGAGAAGAGCGTGGAAAAGAGGAAATCGGGAAGTGTAGTGAAATCAAAAGTGAAAAATAACACGTGAAAATAACACGGGAAGCATTTTTGGACCATGTGCACAGCCCTTTTTTCTCTTCGCAGCGGTTCTCCATCTCAAAATTCCTGAAAAAGATGCACAGGCCCGAATAGGCCCGAGCAATTTTTTGCTTCCAATTGCCACCAACAATGACTGCACAGGAATATTCTCACTGTATCCGATGAGTACTACGAGTTTCATAACAATTGCTTGCCGTCTTGCCCAGCAGAGAGCAATACTACGGATATCATGACAAATGGCGCGACTAATCGCTTTAACGTTCCCATTGTTAAAATGATGCGATCACTAAATTAGTGATGCCATCATTAGCTAGGTAGGCCTACTACGTAGGAAATGTACTAGCCCCGGTAGTGGCACGCTGGCCCGGCAGCTGCTGATCCACCAGCTGCTCAGCGAGGACCAGGATCAGTCTATTTGGATGGATCCTAGTACAAAGCTGTGTAGAAAATCCTGTAGAAAATTGTGGATCAAGGTAGTTTTGGCTTGCCATTTTGGTCAAAATAGAAGGGTTTTGATTGCAGGTACAAAATTGTACTGAGGCCTACTAGTACTAAAGCAAAGTAGTGTATGAAATAATGAGATTATAAGATTTGAATTATTTGAGATTACCAAGCGCGTTCAAGAGAATTCCGAAGCTCTGATCTGAACCCTGTGTAGATCTGGTACTGAATCGTACACGAGGGTTCTCTGTTCTGGACTTCTGGTGACATCTTTGTTCTGCGTGAGGTATTCTTCGAATGTTATCTTGGACCTCTTACGATCCTCAATACAATGGATCATATGATACATATATTTGAATATTGCCTTACAATAGATACGTAGGAATGGTATGTCCCTTCATTCCTTTCTTCGAAGCATCGTACCGTACATACGTATCCTTCTGATACAGTACGTACATATCTGTTGCATCTGTCGTGACCTAAACTTCCCTCCAGCATGCTGATACTGTGCAGCGTGCTGATCCAGCACGCTAAACTGTTCTTTTCATTCTATTGAAAAACTCCCTGGTTCAAAGCAACCGACCATGGGAATCAGCTCCTCTATTCAAAGTACTTCCACTCACTCTTTCTTACTGTACTTGGTATCAATCGATAGCTCTCTTCAATTGTCAATTTAACAAGCCCTGAACCATTGTAGAAAAGGACCCAGCAGTAGAAGCACTGTTTTAGTGTGTTACAGTAGCAACTCCTTTTTGCGGCAACTGCTTCCAACATCAGCAGCAACATGAGCAGAAAGGATCCAGCCGATGAGGTTGCAAAGATCAGAGCCGACCATGACTTAACTAGACTATCTTGCTTGCTGTGGAGCCAGGGGATCCAAGGCTTCCCCCAGCGACTAGAGGCAGTGTGGCGAATCCAAGGAGGTGGGTCAATGTGATTCAGCAAGCAGGGACCACAGCTCATGGTGTCTTTGCAGATTTCATTGAAACTATCTGCAAGGACATCGAGGCCCATCCAGCACCTGGAGATACTTATGTGGAGAGCTACTTCCTCTGGGACAATCTTGGCTCTCATCTAACCACTACAGTTGGTTTGGTGATTAGATACAGACCAGTACCAAGACCAACCCTCTTTCATGCTATTCCCAGGCCTCCATASCAACCCAAGTGGGGACCAATCGAGTATAAGATCCTTKATGTGATCAGTGCAGTGTCTAAGAGCGCGTTGAGGGAATGGAACTTGAATGATCTTGAGCAAGCAATCTATAGGGAGGCTGGTAGATCCATTAGAGGTGTTGACAATACCTTTGCTCATTGTGGATTTACTGTGGATGGTGTCTATCAGCCTGGAGATGACAATTAAGCAACAGCAACAACAGCACCTTGATGGTCTCCAGCAAGTGAGCTGGATTCAGCAAGTACTAGCTGCAATGGACTGGAGCAATCCCCTGGAGCGTGGCTTGCCAGTGTGGTGACTTGTCCAGGGCCTGTGGAAACTGAATCCTACTGGAGAGGCTTGGATTCCAGTCCCCTGGAGCAGCTTCCTTGGATGCTCAATCGATTCNGAGGACACGTCCCACGAGTCCAGTGGTTGGTTGAAGGATGATGCAGCTAACATAGAATCCATATCTGTCACGGACGACGTGTCCCACGAATTGAGTGGTTGGTTGAAGGATGATGCTGCAAAAAACATTGAACTCATACTTGTCACGGAGGACACGTCCCACGAAGCCAGTGGTTGGTTGAAGGATGATGCCCAAAACATCTCAGTCATATCTGTCACGGACGACGTGTCCCACAAATCGAGCGGTTGGTTGAAATCGTACCKCTTAAACGCTTCAGTCATGTTGGTGACTCTTGATGTGTCCCAGCATCCGATGGTTTCGGCRCAACCCTGTTCGGCAAGACACGAGACCACCAGCAAGCGAAAATTTTCATCGGCGCCAATCTCGGGACGACCTCCCGGGCAGTCCAATGGCTGCAAGTACCTCGCGCTGCTTAGAATTYRGGGGAAGAAGCTGTGGCCGTTGCTGTTGTTGCCGAGAGAACCATCATTTTTCTTCCCGCTATCGACTAATTTTTCTGCGGTTGCACTTTCCAATGGAGAGGAAATGGTCGCATGAACGGAGGACCGGTACATMATTCTTGTTTGATTGGTTTGTTGTTCTTGAAAGGGATCGTCGCCTGTTGAARGCGTTTGGACATCGGAAACAAAGCTTTTTTTGKTGGCAAAAAAACTTACTACCTCCGTTCCACAATAATAATGAGAAGAGCGTGGAAAAGAGGAAATCGGGAAGTGTAGTGAAATCAAAAGTGAAAAATAACACG